AGAAGATTACAATGCCCACAAATAGGTTTTTATCTCTCTGAGATCTCTCTGAAAGAATCATCTCAAAACCATCTTTTTCTATGTTTTCTTAAACCTAACTTAACCCTAAAAACGTATTTATATATATATATATATAAACTCAGCCCAAAACAGAATCCCAAATCAATTAGGAAATTGGAAAAATATATTAAAACATATTTCAGTAGATCAAACCATGTGAGTCGGTTGACCGATCAGAACGTCATCTTTACAGGGTCTGCTTGTGCACCTTTTCGGTCGACCGGCGCATGATATAAACTCAGCCCAAAACAGAATCCCAAATCAATTAGGAAATTGGAAAAATATATTAAAACATATTTCAGTAGATCAAACCATGTGAGTCGGTTGACCGATCAGAACGTCATCTTTACAGGGTCTGCTTGTGCACCTTTTCGGTCGACCGGCGCATGTTCTCGGTCGACCGACCAGAGTGTCGATTTTGAGTTGTTTTCCTACAGGTGTTGGGTGTTGCGGTCGACCGGTTAAGACCCGTCGGTCGACCGAACTAGGGTTTTTTTTGCTTCCTGATGATTTTTAACTTCTGGTTTCGGTCCTCGCACTTCCAAAACCAACAAAGCATACATACATGCAAATATACAAAGTTGTAGATGATACTATAAGTATGCTCTGCTTTCGTCTACTTATAGATAATATGCTTGAACTACTAAATAATTTTGTAAGATCCATATACTGATCCGAACACATATAAATTAATAGATAGTAAATGGATACAAACTTCAATTATCAGATGTGGATTTGACTTTTTATGTCGAATCTATTCTTTTTCATAATACATATATGACAACTTGTGGTAAAATGTATAAGAACAAATGACCACATTTCCCCCCCTTATATATATAAAAGATTTCGATATGGTCCTTTACGATCAGAATTTTTTTAGTGGATTTATGACCAGAGTTTTCAAATATCATGAACAGAGACACCTAATAAATTATATCTAGAACCAATAAAAAACTGAATCTAAATGCATGACCTATTAAATTAAAAGAAATCAAATCTGATCTATTCCATCCAAATATCCTTATATTCATTGACATCAAGATAGGCATCCAATCCCAAAAAATTGGAAGTCCGGACCTTGCTAATTTGGCTTTAGCATATGCCTTAAAAAAATTTTTTTTTTGAAGAAAATTAAGAAAAGAGAAAATTTCAATTATAATAGAATAATATAATGATGCTTGTGTGCTTTCACTTAAAATACTTTGATACAACGGTGATATAAAATTATCCAAATACCAAGGGTCAACGTGATAAGGATCAATATGCAAAAGTTTTTTTTAAGTATAAGCTCGTAAACGAATAAAAGGGATTTATGATATTTTGAAAGTTATGAGATGTTATCTGATAACCATCCAAAGTTCAGTGGAGTTTTCTGAAAATCAGCCTTTGTTGGATACTTCCATATTACCTAAAAAAATACTTCACAAGTAATAATTAGGTTAATCTTTTCAAGTTTAATAGAGCTAATCAGGGACTAATGTGCAAACGAAATGTCCCTCGCTATACATACTGGCATGGGTTTTTTTGGCCTTTTGGGAGTTTGGGTTGGGGTCGTTATTATTAGTGTGGCAGCTTTTTTACTCTAATCTATAATCTACATCTTTATACAGAGAAGCCTTGTTTAATGGGCTCTTCTATTTGTCTCGCGGGATGGCATCACGCGGCCATCTCGCGTGAGACAATAGGGAGGGTGGCCCCCACAGCTGCTGTGGGGGCCACCCTCCCTATTGTCTCACGCGAGATGGCCGCGTGATGCCATCCCGCGAGACAAAGATCATTTTCGTTAATTAAATGATTACTCAAAAAGACAGAAAGAGAAAAAAAGAAGAATAGGATCATAGGAGAGAGAAAGAGAGAGAGATGAACACCGGAGTGAGGACAGCTCTACAAACAATGAAACCGCCCCCCATCTCAAACCACGATAAAGTAATCTCTCTCTCTCTCTCTCTCTCTCTCTCCAGCCCAATTTGCACCTGGGTCTTTCCTCTTTATCCTCTTTCCTTGCTAAAGTTTCCATCTTTGCACAAATCAAGAGAATTCTCTCATCAAAATTTCAATTGGGTTGGTTTTTCTTTTCCCCTGAAAGAAATGAGCTTTGTATTGGAAAGTAAGGTGCAAGTTTAATCGATTAGTTTTCTCAAAAGAATCTATCTAATATCTATTCATCTGGGGAAGCCCAAAGGCCTCGGGTTCAGTTTTCTATGAATTTTACGCTTCCTTTTTTTTTAATCTCTCTTGTACTATTTTGGATTGGTAGTTCTAAAAGTCGGCGGTTTTGATTAAAACGTGAAATGGGTTCCTTGGTTTCTCTAGAAATCTTCAATCCTTTGAGCAATCCAATCCCAGACTCTTCATTTAACAACCCCAAATGGGTATATATATATATAATCTCTTATAATTAAGGCTATTAACCTGTATCTCGAGTCAGTTCATTTAATTTGGCATCAATTTTGGATCAATAAATTGTTGTATTCTCCAAGTTATGTTGATAATTATATGTTTTTTTTGTTGGTATAGGGGATTGAGAAGGAGAAGATAACTGAGATGCAGGGGAAAGCACTAAACAGAATTCAATCTAGAAGAGAGAGAAAGATTGCCCTGCAACAAGACGTATGAATTTTTTTTTCCCCTTCATCATCGTCAAGTTCATTAAAATTAAATTTATTACTCTCTCTAATTCTCTTATCACAGGTTGACAAGCTAAAGAGGAAGCTAAGGCATGAAGAGAATGTCCATAGAGCACTGGAGAGAGCTTTCACAAGGCCACTGGGGGCTCTTCCTCGGCTTCCTCCATATCTCCCTTCACAAGTAGTTCACTTTCTCAATCCAATTTCAATGAAAAAGTTATTACAAATAAACAACATTTTGTAAATTTATAATTTACCCATTTCTCTTAAGACACTAGAGCTTCTAGCCGAAGTCGCAGTCTTGGAAGAGGAAGTCGTTAGGCTCGAAGAGCAAGTGGTAAATTTTAGACAAGGCCTTTATCAAGAGGCTGTGTATATATCATCTTCAAAGAAAACCAAAGAGAACCCATCAGATTTGTACTTGGATAAACAGCAAGCCGTCAATTCTAAAGGCTTTGCTAATTCAAATTTGGACGGTGAACCAAATGAGCCCTCATCCAATCGGGTTACCAATGCGAAGAAGCCCATCAAGAAGGTCAATTCTGAAGATAATCGAGGAAAAGAGAATCATGTCAGTACCAATTCTGCAAAAAATAGCAAGCAATCTCCTGCGAAAAAAGTTCCTATAAAGAGAATGCAGGGTGCCGAGGTGAATTGGTTATCCAAATTTTCCTACCTTAAGATGTTTCGTGTGGATTTGAGTATATAAATTGATAGTTTGTTTTTGTTTGATTGAAGAGATGTCAGATTATTTCAGACGAGTCAACATTGGAGGATTCTAGTGAGCCAAATAAACTCTCTGAAGATATCTTGAAATGTCTTCTGAGCATTTACTCTCAGACTAGTTCACCAACGAACGCAGAAGCAGAGCAAGAGACCTTGCCTTCAATTTCAGGGTCTTGTGAAGGATTTCGAGATCCTTATGGTATTTGTTTAGAATTCGGAAGAAGGGATATTGGTCCATACAAGTATTTTTTCACCATTGAAGCAAGCTCAATTCAGCTAAATCTTACAACCAGTTCTTCATTGCTTACTCGTCGATTGAAGTAAGTTTCAGACTTAGTTTTGGAGAATGTTTGTGTTTTTTTTTCACCAGTTATTTATTTTTTCCCTGCTTTTTTTTGAATTCAGGCTTTTATTCAGGAAGCTTGCATTAGTGGAACTTTCAGGGCTTACCCATCAGCAGAAACTTGCATTCTGGATCAACATCTACAACTCGTGCATGATGAATGTATGTTTATAAGTACAAATCTTATCCGTTTTGATAATTTATAACTTTTTTGATTACAAAATAAAACTAGTTTTCTCAAATAACACATGATTGTCTGATCAAAATATTAGTGCAGACATTTCTTAATACCAAATACATGTATCATATGAAATTCGTATTGGCACTTGAAAAAAAAAGAAAAAGGAAAAAAGAAAACTAAGATCTTGTTTCCTCTGTTCTACATTAGGCATTTCTTGAGCATGGTGTACCATCAACTCCTCAAATGGTTGTTGCGTTGATGCCAAAGGTATTACCATAGTGAATTCTGTGATTCCTTGCTCTTATATTTGCTTTAACATGTGTTTCGAAGTTTCATTGTAAACGTTTTCTTTACTGCCTCAGGCGATGGTGAATGTTGGTGGCCACTTTCTCACAGCGATGACTATCGAGCATTTCATACTGAGATTACCTTATCAATCAAAAAATGTACCGCACTATATACTCTCTTTTCAATTCACAAAAATTCTTTGCATAGTATTGTTAATTAATAACACTATGTTTAATACCAAACAGACTTACACAAAAGGATTAAAGAGTGATGAAATTACAACACGAGGGATTTTTGGTTTAGATTGGCCTGAACCCTCGGTTACATTTGCACTTTCATGTGGGAGTTGGTCCTCTCCTGCTGTAAGTTTTCTAAGTCTTTTTTTAAAAAAAAATTCTAGTTTATAACTTCTAACCATAGTGTGTAATTTCATTTTGGTTCAATCTCAGGTTAGAGTGTACACAGCATCTCAAGTTGAAAAGCAACTGGAAATTGCTAAGAGGGACTATTTACAGGCATCTGTTGGCTTCTCGATGCCAAATAAATTGGCGATTCCAAAATTGTTAGATTGGTATCTATTAGATTTTGCAAAGGATGTGGAGTCTCTAATGGACTGGATTTGCCTGCAACTGCCAGAGAAACTGAGGAATGATGCGGTTAAATGTCTTGAAACGGGGAGGAGGAGTGAGATCACACAACCGATACAGGTTCTTCCCTATGAATTCAGATTCAGGTACATTTTGGCCCCATAGAAACATCCACTCTACCCTACACTTTAGCACATTGTGGTCCGTAAACATAACCAAAGGTTTTTGTACACATCTCGAGAATAAAACAGCGTGAAAATTTATAAAAAGGCCATTTGATTTGTTTGATAGCGGGGATTGGGTTTGTGTACTATTGTCTTGTTTGGGATTTCCTTTCTTTTTTTTTTCCTTTTATATTTTTATAAGGGTCTTTTTTGTATAATCTTATAAACTGGGTGCAATTGAAAGCATCACGAGTAAAAGAGAATCAAATATCTAAAATTTCCTGCCGGTAAGAAGTTCTATCTGTGCAATACATTGCATTAGGACCCAGAATAAAGCGCGACAAAGTATTACCTCAAGAACTGAATAAAACTAATGAATGCATAATATGTCATACTTCTTACCCCCTTAAAAACCCTATCACGTGGTCCAAATCTTGCTGAAGTTCATAGTCAAGGTAGCTTCAGAAATTATAGCACTCTTTGTTTAGGAAAAATTAAAAAAAAAAAAAGCTTTGGGAATGCCCAATAACATTCATTTTTTTTAAATTATTTTTTTTTTCTGAGGAAAGCCCATTAACATCCTTAAACACGCTATTCCAAGTTCATATTCATCCTGTAAAAAATATGTCTATATAGGTGAAGAAATGAGAAGAGGTATGTAACCAGCAATCAAATTTTGACTGAGGCAATTGTTGCTAGAAGCTTGAGATGTTTTTTTTTTTTGGCACGGTCACTGTTTTGGTAGATGTTTGGGCAAACAGTGAATAGTGTACGTGTAGTTTTTTTTTTAAATTATCTCTTTTTTTTTTTGTTACAACAGTGTCCCTTTCTTGATCTGTATGATTGGTGGAGGCTGGATATTAGGTGGGAGGCATTGAGGATTTGAATATTTATTCATTTATTGATTGAAGCCAAGCCTAATTTGGTTTCGGTTACATATCTATGTCAAAGTATTGTCGAGTCTCTTGGCACCTTGAGCTCTCTGCGTTGTGTTGACAGGGTGTAACTGATGAAAGCCCGCGACAGCGCTGCAACCTCTGGTGAGCGAGGGGTTAGCGCTTTTCACCTCTCGCTTGTACTTTGCTTTTGGTGCCTTGCTCAATAATTATTCCCTTTTCTTCGGCAG